CTGAACATACAGTGAGCGCATACACATACACGACACATACAAACAAAAATAGAGCAGCACACTAACCCGATCGCTACTTCCGAGCTCTGCGTTTCCGTTGTTTATACTGGTCGTTTTGAACGTACGGAATTTCTCGGTGACCGCCTAAGCAATAAACAATATTCCCAGCCTGTTGAGATTTTGCCAGCGATGTCATACCTCTCAGAGTATTTTGAACGGCTCAGGGGATGAATCTTTTAGTAAAAAGTAAACGCTCGATCATGCCGTAATTATTTCAAAGCCAATAAATCAAGCCGCTCTAATGCGGTTCCAAGCCATGTGTTTGCTTACCCGCATAGCACGTCCTAGGCAGTATTCCTATTGCAGTGTTTGTTTTTCTATTTGTGCTGTTCGCGCAGGGCTGCAGTTGTCGTCTTGAATTAATCTCTGTAGAGCGGTTATTCACTGAGCTGGAAGTGATGCTTCACGGGCAGAGAAATCGCTTTTTAATCGACTTGAATGCAGTCAAAGCCGCGACTTGCCGCAGGTGTTAAGTGTACAGAGCTGCGCCGTGGCGAGCTCGAAAACTTCTAGCGCTCATCCCAGCGCGCCACTAGGAGGGCAGTTTCTCCAGGAACCGTAGTATATTTAAACAGCAAAATAAAAGATAGCTTTCTCTTTTGTCGATTTTACTTACCATTATTTTTTTTGTTTCATATTGAAATTCCAAACTGTAAATGTGCGTACCTTCCGTTATATTTTTATATTGTTCAGTCCTTTCGCCAGAGCGCAATCGCTCTCGGGGAGGAGACAACCGACAGTCACATAGGCCACTGATACGATAGGAGCTTACTGTTCACACCAGCGTTCCAACATGGCTATCCGCACGTCGATCGATTGCACGTAATACCTCAAGTGGTATTAAACTATTTAATCTAAAGCGGAATGCAAACCTGCGAAACCCCGCCCCCTCCGATCACGGCCCGACCAGCGGCATCAATACCCTACAGTTTACGTGATATCGATCATCTTGTTACACTACTGATATACGCGAACACACTGTCACATCGGCGGCGATAATTCCGGTCTTCTGTTCACAACGCAGAACACTGCCATCGCGATCTTGCTGCCATGTTGCTGACACGCAGAAATACAGAACCGACCTCAGCACAGAAGGCACCCAGGCACCCGGCAGCAAAATCTGCCTGTCTCGGACACAGTATCCGCGATTTCCATAACGTCGCTAACGTCGACACATCCACTGTGGACCGCGCTGTGGACGCATCGTTCCGCGTGTTCCGCGTGGTCCGCATGGTTCCGCGTGGGTTCTGCAATCCGGATGTGTCCATCTTAGCCCAGTGTACGCGCTGCTGGCACTGCTCCGGGACTTCGCTGTTTCTGGCGCCTTCGTTTGCTCGTTTGATAAAATTAGTGGTGAAAACATCACTGCAACCGAAATGTTCTGCGTGTTCGGACTAGAAGACGGAATTGCAGGCGGCCTTCGCTGCCGCTGAAGCTCAGTCAACTCAACAACATTTATTTAACAACGCACACGACGTGCTCAAAAAACGAAACCGAAAGAAGATGAGTCGGGATGGCGAAAGCTTTCTACCGTTTGCCTGGAGAAGGAGAAAAACGTCTCATTCCTCCCTTCTTCTCGTGTCCGCTTGGGGGCGCGTCAATAAAAGGGGGGAAAATGCGCCGTTGCTACCTTTTTCCTCCATCTGTTCTCAGAGTGCAGGAAGCTATGGTTTGGCCAATTGCGAGGTTCCGACCACAGCGACGCTTTTGGTCGCGCACGTCGCTAATATAGGCGAGGACACACAGCACGGCGAACGCTACGACGCGATCGACTAGATAAAGTTGGGAAACGGAACAAATGGTCCTGAAACAAATGGTCCCGGAACAAATGGTCCCGGAACAAATGGTCCCAAGTGCAAACTAGGAAAAAATGATCCCAGATAAATATCGGCAATGTGGCTTCTGCGTTTTGGGATAAACTCGATAATATCCAATGACACTCGCCGAATTTCGAGGCTGTCGGTTGCACGAACTCGACCGGTTTTTATATTTTTCTGGGAAGTTCAGAAATATTGTGCGCTATGGGAACCTAATGCACCTGTAAAGGCATCGAGTTCCGCTCGGGATGTGTGCTACCACCACGTGTCATGACGAAATGGGAGTAATTTGAGTTTCATGGCTTCAACAGGGTATACCCAGAAAAAGGGGGGGGGGGGGGGGGGGAAAGAGAGAGAGGCACTCACTTGATAGAATGACGTTTCAGCGAACGCCCACGTTTCACCGAATGACACTTTAGCGAATAGTCGGCCTCTACGAAGCGGCGTTTACGGTTGTTCCAAGTGGGTTCACATTTTTGTAAGGAGCCGCCGCAGACTATCGCCGCGAAGAGACGTAAGCGCAGCACGGGGGGGGGGGGGGGGGGGGGGGGGGGGGGGGATTAACACGCGCCCCCGGTACGTTATTCGCTAAAACGTCGATTCGCTCAAATGTCACTGATCGCTAAAACGTCATTTGCTCATGTGATATGAACTAGGGGCACTCGTTTTTCGTTTCAAAAGAGCCTGCTGATATAATAAATGGTATAAAGCCGCTTATATGAAAATAGTAATAACTCATAATATCGTATAAGGTCACTAAATTAACAGCTAGGAGATAATTGCTGGACAGTATTCAATTCGAAAATATTCTGACGATTTCTTCGAAGTAACAAGCTTCGAGGTAACCAACCTCAAGATATAGACGAGATCCTTCATTCCACCAGTAAATCACTGATTGCATAACGGATGGAGTGTATTGCATGGTATATCTTAGTTTCAAAACAATCCACTAAGGGGATCATGTTTTCCTACCTTGGACTTGGGAGCATTGGCTCCGGGACCATTTGTGCCGGCACCATTACTTCCGGGACAATTAGTTCCGGGACCATTAGTTCCGGGACCATTAGTTCCGGGACCATTTGTTCCTACACCCGATGAAGTTCGATTGGCGCGCCCGAGTACAGCTACAGCCGACAACGCCTTCACCATCCACAAGGCGCAAAAAAAAAAAAAAAAAAAAAAAAAAAAAAAAAAAAAAAAGAAAACCGAAACAAAGAAGTGTTTTTTGCCCATGACACCCGGGCGCGCACTCTTTCTGCTCGGAGCGTCTGCTGTGGCCTTGACGGACGCTGGCTTGAACACCGCGCCAGAGATCTTTCCTATTCAACAGGTTCATGAAACTGCTATTCCAACCGCTGAAGCACAAAACTAAGGTCAATGACGAAGCAGTATCTAAGCAACACGCATACTCCAAGTGCCAAGATTTATAGCATCTTCGATCAACTCGCACCGGAATCGCCCTGAAACCAGCACAGTGCACAGCGCTCCTCGGTCGTGCAGCGCGATGTCGGTGCAACATCGAGGACAAACTGCGCCGCGCCGGCGGCGCCGGTGCACCGCGGCGAGCTCCACCTTGCGTCACTTCACGTTTTGTTCGTTTTTTCTTGCGCAGGTCAGTGCACGGTGCCCGTCTGCTGTCAATTTCTTCTATTCTTTTACTCGCGGATTTGACGGTCCCACAGAAATAAACATCGTGGACGTGATTGCCGATGGGGTAAAGAAGCGGGTGACAATTCCACATGTATATGTTGGCCATCATTATTGGTTCAAGAAAACGAAACACCAGATAATAGCCGTACCTCGCTGTCATCGAAACTCCTCGCGCCGCTTTCCACGAAGTTCGTGCTTTCCGGGCGCTCCTTGCCACCGCAGCAATCGCCAGTAATCGCGGCGATGGCGAGAAGCTCGTCGTCTCGCCGTCAGAAGACCCGAGGAAATCATCTATAGTGCAGCTGCGAGGCGTGTTCGTTTTTGCAAGATCGCCATCTCGATAGTCTGCGCGTCTGCTACTCCCGCCATCTTCTCGATTCCCGCTCCTGGCCGCAATGCCTGATGGGACTGCCCCCCGGCGCACCACCGATTTTCTTGGTGCGCGTTGGGGCAACGAAAAGCCGCACCGGGAGGGTGCGCTTCGTTGATCGAGGACGTACGGTGCGCACCGGTGCACTTGATCGAAGATGAAGGGGCGCACCTCAGTGCCCCGGTGCGCACCGGTGCGGATGATCGAGGATGCTATTAGATAACGTGGCGCACCCAGAAAACGACTTTAAAAACAAACATGTCTCCCATGGAGAAGCATGCGAAACCGGGCCAGCGACAGGCTGTCTAGAGCCACTAAATAAGCTACGCTTCAGAGTAACGACACTTACCCATCTTGTGGCTTAAAATCATGGTGGCCAGTTGTCTGAAGCTTTATCCGAGATCGCAGGAAACGCTTTTCCATCCTCCAGACATTTCGAAACAGTTCGCGACAGAGCAAAACGATATCACATAAGCTTGCTAACACCGCATCTAAAGCTGAGGGAAATCGCATATCTGAATTGTGGCTATTGATAGTTGCCTCTGCTCTGCTCTAAACACCAAGATGGCGGCGACCACAAGAATACCGGGGAACAGACTGCCGATACTCTAAGCGTAGCTCATAAAGTGGCTCTAAGGCTGCCATCAGCCGGATATTATGGAGCCACCTGGTGGCGCCGTTTGTAACGAATTCGACGAGAGGACTTTATCTGGCAGCTACAACGCCGCGCGGAGGTCACACCTTTATATACCTTATACCGTGACCTTAACACACTCGGCCACCAACCCCACCCCCACTGTGCCGCTATTCGCTTCCAAGGGCCGCTCATTTAAGTGCTGCACCACCCTTTGCTTCGCAGACACGGACACCGTGCTTGGACACATTTGATGCGTGTAATACACACAAACACATAAAGGGGCTTTACAAACAAATTATGTTGCGCTAGAGGCTTGAATCTCAGGACCATTCGTATCCACGCGATCGACATACCACCCTTTTAGCCCGCCACAGCTTTGTGCTCAAACAATGTAATTTTGCAGCAGTCACAAATGTCGGAAAATCTCAAAAATGATTTTTCCCCTACGGGTTCGAGCGACACAAACTATATTGAATTACATTTATTCAGCTATTTTCGTATAAGTCCAAATTTGCACAACCTCCGTCACCGGTTGTCCCCTGCGACGCGGCATCAGGCGTGACACAGCAGCTCCAGGAAGATGTCCAGTGTGCTCGTGCGGCCCGAGAAGAAGCCCGTCTTGAGCAGCGTCATCTCGCACATGGCGGACGGAATGTTGGGCTCCCTATAGTAGGCATCCAGAACTCGCGATAGTCACCCATCAGCGCCTTCTTGAAGGGCCACTGCGTCGTTGGCGTCCCTGCAGAGCCTGCAGCAGTGACGCACAAAACTTACGCAGTCCACGCACCGCAGGTGGATCTCTAGCCGCGCCATGTAGCCGTCTAGCGAGAAGACGTCGCTGCAGCTAAGCGTCTGGCAGCACCGCGACGCCTGGGCGCAAAGGGATGCCAGGTTGCTGACGGACCATAGCGCTCTTCAAGCGCGCTGAGGGTCGTCAGAGCGAAACCGCCGCTCTCCAGCGAGGCGTTGGCACCCTCAATCGATGCGATCATGTACAGGGCATCGCTGAGATGTCTCGGTTCTCGTGGGGCGGGTTCTGGAGTCGGCGTCGACGCCGGGACGGGAACGCCGCCGGCCCTGCGACCAGTTGGGCTTTGAGGGCGGCCAGCTCTGCCTGTAGGAGGCTTGAGACGCTCGCGGCGGCTGAGTTGGTTTCTGAGCGCGAGCGCTTCATGTCTCCCGAGAGGGTGTTGAGGCTTGCCTGCAGTCAAAGAGGTGGAAAAATGCAATCAAGGTTTAAAAAAACAAAACGTTCACTGCCTTTTGTTTTTACATTTTGGTTTAAATTAGCGCACTCGTGCTGACTGTGGTCTGTATAGCGTCGTATGCTGCCCATACATCAAAAGTGGTCCAGAAGTGGCAACAAATGACGTCACAAAAGCCGATGATCGCGACAGGCTGTTGCATGTCGCGATCCCAGCAGAGGGCCTATGAGCGCGAGTGTCGCTGTCGTTACGGCGTCCCAACCTATGGCTGCCTAAGCTTCTGTGGACTGCCACACTGGACAGCAACATGCAGCAGAACAGGCGTCAGCCACATACACCACTGCTGCTGGGCCGCCGCCAGGATCGTGACAGACGACAGCATGACACTTCCGTGACGTCATCAGGCGGAAAGCGAGGGACCACTTTTTGGACGCGGTAAGCACACCAGTCGGAGTCGCGTTCCAGGCACCATACTGCAGCAAAATTAACTGTTGGGCTAGTTGGCTACACATTGTATAAAAATTCAAAAGCGCAAACACCAAGGAAAAGAAGAGGGGACAGGACAGAGCGCTTACTCCAACTGGAAGTTTAATGCATTCCCCGAGGAAGACATAAAAGAAGAATTAGGTATGTGAAGGTAAAAAAGAAGAAAAAAATTATTGTTATAGTTTATAGACGCATTAAAAAATTTTTAAACTAAATCTTACCCCTTGACACTAGCAAAAAAATGTAATAAAAATTCAGAAATATAAACAAAATCAGTAGGGCAAAGATAAGGTTAGAAAACACTAAAATGACCCGCGTTAAGGAAAAAGGTCGAGGTATCTCATCTCTTTCTCGGACAGCGCTATTGATGGTGCGCTTATGCAAGCTCCCCCGAGAGACAATATGGTTTTCGCTTCATAGAGTTCTCGGGATCTTTTTCTATGGTAATGCTTGAGGATCTTAGTCTGTTGGAATATGGGTGTGCAGTGGCAGTCACGGACATGTATGGCGAGATGTCCCGATGGTGATGATTTCAGAGAAAGGTGATGCTCTCGAAGTCTCACGTTCACACAGCGCCCAGATTGTCCGACGTAGACTTTTCCACATGTGAATGGAATTTCGTAGACTACGTTGATGTTGCAGTTGACGTACTTGTGCGTATGCTTGACGGTGCAGTTGTTGTTATTTTCGTTTTGCGAATTAATCTTAGGACACAATTTTTTTAGTTTGTTTGGAGCTGAAAGTACCACTGGTACTTCATACTTTGAGCCTATCCGTTTGAAGTTGTGTGATATGTTGTGGAAGTAGGGTATCACTGCCGGTCGCGTTTTCTTGCAATTTCGCTGTCCTCTTCCCTTGGGAGTTGTCAGACATTCTGCTACATCAAACAATAATGAATTGGTGTATCCAGAATCCTGCAGCCTCTGCACTTGTGCTTCGAAACTGCGCTTAGCCGTGTGTTCACAGGACTTGTGCAGGGCCGCTTTGAAGCAGCTCTGCACTATTCCTCTTTTGATGATCTTGGAGTGGGCAGAATCAAAAGGTAGGAGTCTTTTTTTGGACCGTGGTGCATAAGTCCAGCAAGTGTGCGATTTTTCAAAGGACAGTTGTAAATCTAAAAATTGAAGCTTGCTATTAGTAGGTAACTCATGTGTGAATTTGAGTCCTTGAGCTTGTGTCATGAAACTGTTGCTTATGATGTTGAATGTAGCACAATCATATTGGTCAGGTCCGGTGGAAAGTAAAATGAGATAGTCATCGACGTATCTAAAGATACGTGTTACAAGGTTTGTGGGAAGGCTCTGGGCTATTGCCCTGTCACAGGTGGAAAGAAAAATGTCGCATAAGACAGGTGCTACACAGGAGCCAATGCAAATTCCTTTCTTTTGGATGTAAGTACTGCCGCTAAAAGTTACAAAGGTAGATGTGAGGTAGAACCTAAGGAGTTCCATGAAAGATTCGGATGGTATGCCACATTGATTTTGAAATGACACAGTTCCATTAGCCTCTATGCAATCGCTGACTGCTTCAAACATTCTTGCGTGAGGGACCGAGTAGAACAAGTCCTCCACATCAAGGGAGAGTCCAAACTTTACTGTTGAAGCACTTGATTTAAGGTAGTCTATCAGAGATTCTGAGTTTGGAATTAGAAAAGGGTCATAGATGTTGAGGCTGTTCAGGTGGCGTAAAAGAAATTGGGACATAGCTCCCTGCCAAGATCCTCGTTCAGTTACTATTACACGAAAAGGGCAACCCTCTTTGTGAGTTTTGGCGGTGAAAAACATTTCCAATTGATCACTTTTAGTAGTGTTTATCTGTTTTCTCAATTGGCTTAGATCTAGCCTGCTGCACGCTGGAGTGCTTTTGCCTTCACTTTTTTTGGATTGAACCTCTCCAAGCAATTAAAATTCTTGACTATATAGAACTGGGCTTTATCAAGGTAAATCTCTCTGGTCGTCACAACAAAACCCCCTTCCTTGTCCGATATTAGAAGATTCAAATTTCTTTCTCGAAAGTGATTGACTATACGAGTGAAATGTATCTTCCTGTCGCTTTGAGGGCCAGCTTTTAGTAGTATTTCCATACAGTCAGAAACGCAACTCTGTCGGTTTTCTTCCTGAGCTTTAGAAGCGATATCATGGACGTTTGACACCATATGTATTGTTTTTATACAATGTGTAGCCAACTAGCCCAACAGTTAATTTTGATTCAATATCTTTCTTCTACACTGGGCCCTTTTCCGTGTGTATTTTCTGCAGATTGTGTTTCTTTTTACGTCAATTCCATCGCCTTCTCTACTTGCCAAGCAAGATTGTACTCTTTTGCCATCAGACACAGTGTGATTCCACAAGACGTCTGTGCGTTGTTTGGCAATGCAAGACCATCACTGCAACACGCCAAGAGGATGTGCAGGATTTTGCGGTCTGAGATGTGGCGACAGGTCCGGTTTTATCGGTCCTGTCTCAGCGCCCTTGCCGGCATCGGCATCCCCAATGATGGACACGTCACCAGATACAGGTTCTTCCTGACTACAGCCAGCCAAAAGACTGAATTCCTTTGGGGCTCTTACATCCCTCATCTAAAATACCTACGTTCATCTAGGACGCAGCGGAAAGGCGAATCTGTTACGCTCTTAGGCTGCGAGCCCCTTTCGGATGATATACGAGGTGTTCTTGAAAAAGGACCGAAATTTTGTACTGAGCCCCAACAGCAAGGAATACATATGGTGTCAAACGTCCATGATATCGCTTCTAAAGCTCAGGAAGAAAACCGACAGAGTTGCGTTTCTGACTGTATGGAAATACTACTAAAAGCTGGCCCTCAAAGCGACAGGAAGATACATTTCACTCGTATAGTCAATCACTTTCGAGAAAGAAATTTGAATCTTCTAATATCGGACAAGGAAGGGGGTTTTGTTGTGACGACCAGAGAGATTTACCTTGATAAAGCCCAGTTCTATATAGACAAGAATTTTAATTGCTTGGAGAGGTTCAATCCAAAAAAAGTGAAGGCAAAAGCACTCCAGCTGTGCAGCAGGCTAGATCTAAGCCAATTGAGAAAACAGATAAACACTACTAAAAGTGATCAATTGGAAATGTTTTTCACCGCCAAAACTCACAAAGAGGGTTGCCCTTTTCGTGTAATAGTAACTGAACGAGGATCTTGGCAGGGAGCTATGTCCCAATTTCTTTTACGCCACCTGAACAGCCTCAACATCTATGACCCTTTTCTAATTCCAAACTCAGAATCTATGATAGACTACCTTAAATCAAGTGCTTCAACAGTAAAGTTTGGACTCTCCCTTGATGTGGAGGACTTGTTCTACTCGGTCCCTCACGCAAGAATGTTTGAAGCAGTCAGCGATTGCATAGAGGCTAATGGAACTGTGTCATTTCAAAATCAATGTGGCATACCATCCGAATCTTTCATGGAACTCCTTAGGTTCTACCTCACATCTACCTTTGTAACTTTTAGCGGCAGTACTTACATCCAAAAGAAAGGAATTTGCATTGGCTCCTGTGTAGCACCTGTCTTATGCGACATTTTTCTTTCCACCTGTGACAGGGCAATAGCCCAGAGCCTTCCCACAAACCTTGTAACACGTATCTTTAGATACGTCGATGACTATCTCGTTTTACTTTCCACCGGACCTGACCAATATGATTGTGCTACATTCAACATCATAAGCAACAGTTTCATGACACAAGCTCAAGGACTCAAATTCACACATGAGTTACCTACTAATAGCAAGCTTCAATTTTTAGATTTACAACTGTCCTTTGAAAAATCGCACACTTGCTGGACTTATGCACCACGGTCCAAAAAAAGACTCCTACCTTTTGATTCTGCCCACTCCAAGATCATCAAAAGAGGAATAGTGCAGAGCTGCTTCAAAGCGGCCCTGCACAAGTCCTGTGAACACACGGCTAAGCGCAGTTTCGAAGCACAAGTGCAGAGGCTGCAGGATTCTGGATACACCAATTCATTATTGTTTGATGCAGCAGAATGTCTGACAACTCCCAAGGGAAGAGGACAACGAAATTGCAAGAAAACGCGACCGGCAGTGATACCCTACTTCCACAACATATCACACAACTTCAAACGGATAGGCTCAAAGTATGAAGTACCAGTGGTACTTTCAGCTCCAAACAAACTAAAAAAATTGTGTCCTAAGATTAATTCGCAAAACGAAAATAACAACAACTGCACCGTCAAGCATACGCACAAGTACGTCAACTGCAACATCAACGTAGTCTACGAAATTCCATTCACATGTGGAAAAGTCTACGTCGGACAATCTGGGCGCTGTGTGAACGTGAGACTTCGAGAGCATCACCTTTCTCTGAAATCATCACCATCGGGACATCTCGCCATACATGTCCGTGACTGCCACTGCACACCCATATTCCAACAGACTAAGATCCTCAAGCATTACCATAGAAAAAGATCCCGAGAACTCTATGAAGCGAAAACCATATTGTCTCTCGGGGGAGCTTGCATAAGCGCACCATCAATAGCGCTGTCCGAGAAAGAGATGAGATACCTCGACCTTTTTCCTTAACGCGGGTCATTTTAGTGTTTTCTAACCTTATCTTTGCCCTACTGATTTTGTTTATATTTCTGAATTTTTATTACATTTTTTCGGTAGTGTCAAGGGGTAAGATTTAGTTTAAAATTTTTTTAATGCGTCTATAAACTATAACAATAATTTTTTTTCTTCTTTTTTACCTTCACATACCTAATTCTTCTTTTATGTCTTCCTCGGGGAATGCATTAAACTTCCAGTTGGAGTAAGCGCTCTGTCCTGTCCCCTCTTCTTTTCCTTGGTGTTTGCGCTTTTGAATTTTTATACCATACTGCAGGCAAGATAAAAAAAGTGTATCTGCGAAAAGGCCTCATACATTCTGGAGCACTGCTTCACACATATGTAAGACACGTCTAAGGAGAGTTTTTGTATGACTAATGTGACCCTCATACGGGGAAGACAGACGCGTCAGCCAATGTCAGCAGACTTGCTGCTGCTAATACTTGATACAAAGGACTGTCTGCAGACGCTCTCTGAGGTGTCTTTCTTCCTCGCCCATTGGACATACAACAACCTTCGTTCGACGTCTTCGAATCATAAATATGCACGAAGCTCAGAACGTGCTAGAGTCCTGTCCACCTTCTCTCATCATGTCTGCAGAGAACACCGTGTCTTTTGTGTGACGTATGTGCCGTGTGACTGCGGCAGTGTGACCGCGGCTTTCAAGAGGCCAACGATCCCTCTGACTGACGCGGTAGCACGCGCGTCTACCTGTTGCAGCTGACCCCGTGGAAGGCCCAGTGCTCCTCGAAGTGCTCCAGGAGCCCCGAGACCGGACCGACGAAGCAGCAGCCCTGGTTCCAGCGGGCCGCCCTGAGCCGGAGAACCTGGTCTGGAGGGAGCTGCAGCCTGCCCATGGCGTCCTGGTCGTTCGCGTGACCGTCCAGGGGGCACACGCGGCCCTTGTCCTTGGTGGCAGCGAAGCAGGGCTCGCAGAGGGCGTGCGAGCAGGGCAGCACCAGCGTCGCCCTGGGCTCCACTCCGCACAGGCAGCACACGCGGATGGCCGGCGGGTGCTTCTCGAAGGCCAGCGGACGCCAGTTTAGGCCAGTCTGGAAGACTACGACGCGGTAAGAAGCGGCCGTCGCGGACATGACAGTTCTGCAAGTGCAGTGCCCGAGAAACAGCACGAGGGAACGTGCTGCGAAGATGTTCGGACGAACGCGCCACGAACACTAGTGGCACGTTCTACGCTTGCCTCAGATACACTGTATCGCAGGAGGTGGCGTCCGTATTCCCCAGATGTGGAGCGAAGTGTCACGGAAGTGGGCATGGCCACGTAATATCCCCTCTGTCTCTCGGTTAATGACACGGTAATTTCCGTGTTTGTTTTTTCTTATACTAAGTTTTCTATCTTTTTGCCACTGTCTCGGGTAATTCTCATCGTAAATATACTCCGTTCACTGTTAAAGACCGACGTACTATCGGGGAAAAATGAAATGCGAACAGAGGAGCGCGTAACTCGCGGTACAGGCTGCGCCACCCGGAAGTGAGCCTAGGGGAGAGGGTGCGTGGCCTACTCTGATGTGTTTATGCTGCTACTAGCGGCGAGCTTCCTCTTCGCAGCACGCGGCGAGCGAGCGAAGATAGCGGTTGTCAGACAACAAATCGGGCAACATCCCTGCCGGGCGGCAGCAACATGTTGCCCGACTGTTGTTGTTGCCGCGATGTGACAGGGTCGCCGGCAACACGACATCCCCGTATTGACGGATAGAGTTGTCCAACTGTTGCTTGCCTCAGTGTGACAGGGCCTTAAGAGGAACAATGCCGAAGCTTGGGGAGCGCCGAGGGAAGGGCGTAAACACATCAGAGTAGGCCATACACCCTCGCCCCTAGGCTCACTTCCAGGGGCACAGCCGCGAGCCACGCGCTTCTCTGTTCGCATTTCATTTTACAGCGAAGCCGTATACGTCTACCAGCCAAGGAAATTTTCGTGTCGTCGTTGTAAGCGAAAAACTCTCGGCGAACAATTGAAGGCGAAACAGCATATCTCCTTTGAAACCAGGCATACAGCATACAGCTCAGTATCCGTTTCAATAAAGAAACCCACAAAACAAGCATCAAAACCACATGATGCATGATAAGGCGCGTGTGGGCGATAGGAACACCCTCCCACGCGTTCCGGTAAAGATTAGGTTTGAAGCTGCTTCGAAAGGGGTTGACGTCATTGGAAGCCCTCGTGTGAAGTGCGAACCGCATAATAGATGATAACGGCGCCTGCTGCCGCGGCGACAGCGGCTTGCGACGTGGGGAGTGACGTCACTAGCCTTTCATATAAAAAAAGAAGAATCCGCCTACAGCCTGTTTCACCTTACGTCCGGACGCAGCGGATGCTACGAGCTATCTTAGCCAATCCCGTTCTGTGGACGTGGCCCGTGATACGCTTTCCGCGCGTCGCTGTGCCCCCTCTCTGAGGTCACGTGACACTCATACGGCCTCCGATTGGCTCCGATGGCTCGTAACACCGCTGCGCTTAAACGCAAGATGAAGCGGAGTATGGTAACTGATTTCATTGTTGCTGCAGCACCGCGATAAATAGGCCACGCATAGTTATGACTCCCGAGGAGCAGCGTGAATACTAGGAGCGGCAAAGGGAAAAGAAACGGCAATAGGACCAGCGGCAGCGTGCTGCGACCGGCGGCGGCATTTCACGTATAGTGCAATAAGCAATCGTTGCAGGTGATACCAGAGCTTCGCTGACCAACCACCTCCACCGCCTGGATTGGAGCCATTTGTTTCCCCGATAGTACTCTTTGCGCTTTCCACTTTTGCCCGCTTCCTTCTTTCCTGTATCCTCTCCACTTTTTACCTTACCCCAAACTTGACTTTTCTTGCAGCTTAGGAGAGGAGTAGCGCTAAGAGGATATTCTGCCTTGCAGAAAACCGAGGTTGTACGTCGGCCTTTAAGCTGTGACTAGAAGCTCCACCTTCTCTGCAAGCTCACTGGCTTCCGTAGTTCTTTGGTTGCGCATGCCTTCACACTTGTGTTAGCAAGGGCAGAAAGCTCGCGCACACAAGCTCGGAGCACGTGGATCGAAAGCTCGCGCTGCAGAGCTCAGGGATCCTAGGTAGGGTTCAATCATCAGCCCTGCCCGTTTCGATCTGAATGAGCACCGTACCGGTGTGCGGTCGTGTATCACTACTCTCGGAGCAGATAAGCAGCGAGTTTCCCGCGGGCAGTCATTTGGCAGCGGCGGCAGCATCCAGTCAACACATCTGACAAAAACGCCTGTTAAAGGTTGGTAGTCCGGACGTTTTACCTTCAGCTAACCCATGTTGCTGCTGCCGCTGCCACCGGAATTGTTATTTTGTTAGTCTTGAGCCCGTTCTCTGTAAGAGCATGTCAAACACTTGCTTCACGTGTCAGTTGGCTGTTCCCGAGGAAGAAGAGGGTGCGGTAGAGCGAATGTACACACACCTACCATTTTGGCATGTGCCGGAGTTACTAAGAAGTCTTTTTCCGGAGAAAATGAAGCCGCAAGGAAGTCGTGGCGGTGTCCACAATGCAGGAGCAGTGCATCCCGCGCTAGCGGCAGCGAGGACAGCCAGAGTGAACTAGATGTAAAATTTCTTCTTGCGTCTATCAACGAGAAGCTGGACAGTCTACCCAGTCTAAACGAAAAAGTAGACCGCATGGAACAGTCCGTACAGCACGTGTCGAATGGGTTCGATGAACTTGAAAAACAATTGAAACACCAAGCGACTGAAATTAAAGACCTAAACAAGAAAGTGAAAGAATTGGAGCAGAAGGATGAAACAAACAGAGCGATAAGGGATCAGCTCCAGCAGGCGGTGAATGAGCTCGAGTTTCGAAGCAGACGGCTCAATTCGGAAGTCCACGGGATTACTATGACACAGGGTGAGAACCTGCTTTTCATACTAAATGAGGTGGCCGATAAACTTGAGCTCCCTCATCTAACGGAGTCTGACGTTGTATCTGCTCATAGGTTGCCCGCGAAACAAGGGCTGGTGCCTGGAATAATCGTTCATTTTATGAAACAACAGAGCAGGGACGCGTGGCTGAAGCGCAAAAACAATTTTAAGAACAGTTCCCAGCGGATTTTCATTCAGGAAAACTTAACCCGCTACAATAGAGAGCTTCTTCGGGCGGCGAAAGATCGGGCTAAGGAAAAAAGCTATGCCTTCACATGGTGCACAAATGGAAAAGTTCTAGTTCCGAAAACTGAAGGAGCACGTCCTATTCACATAAGAACCAACAATGACCTTGATCAGATTAAATGAATAAATTGTACTGACGTTTGAGGGGAAACTTATAAATGAACCAACACCGTTATTATTTGCCGAATGATGTGAATGGGCTTGTACCTCGATTTTCACCCCTTTCATTGAAATGTATACATTTAAACACTAGGTCGGTAAGAAACAAATTTTTGTGTTTAGAAGAGTTTTTTACTGAATTTTCGTTTCAATTTTCCGTTATTATGCTAACCGAGACTTGGAGCACAAGTGACTTTGATGTTTTTGGATTGCCGAACTATAGAACCTATTATTTAAACAGGACCAGCAGTCGAGGTGGCGGGGTTGCGTTGCTACTTTACAATAGTACTGAGTGCACGTTGCTTGATTGTTACAGTGCAATTACTCCTGATTATGAAGTGCTTTCGCTGTGTTCGGGCCAGAGAGTGTTTTCTGTTTGCTATCGACCACCAAACGGAGATGTTTTAAAATTTTTTGAATTCTACGATCAATTTCTTGCATCTGTGGCCGAAACTGGAAAACTTTTAATTGCAGGAGGGGATTTTAATATAGATATGGCTAATGATAGCCCGTCAGCCAGAGATTTTGACACTCTTATATTATCAAATGGTTTCGTTAATGTGATTAACGTACCAACAAGGGTCACAGCGGATTGTCTATCCGTCCTTGATCTGTTCATTACAAACTGTGTCCATTCAAATTATGAAGCGGGAGCTATATCGTGTTTCATTAGTGACCATCTTCCTGTGTTTCTTTACGTTGAAAAAAATGGGCCAGCAGTAAACAAATCATCCGAAATACCTTATCAATCAATTACAGAGACGGCACTTAATGCGTTCTGGGATGCAATCTTGCATACAAATTGGAGCTATATAAGCAATTTAAAAGAGCCAAACGAGATTTATAATACCTTTTTGAGCAGTTTTAAACATTTATATTGTACTCACTTCCCTGTAAAAGTGCGTAGGCTAACTGGAAAAATTCGTAAGCCGTGGATCACTCGAGAATTACGGAAGGAAATGAAAATAAGAGATAACTTGAATAAGAAATTTTTTAATACTCGCGCACCCGATGATTTGATCATTTTCAAGCAGTACCTGAACAAAATAACAAAGAAACTACGATGAGCGCGAACGGAATATCACTCCTCATTTATAAACGATAAGAACTGTAGGCGTGACGTTATGTGGTCTAGATTAAATACAGTCCTCCATCGCGGTTCCTCACATGCCCCTCTTTCAAAACTGCAAGTCAGTGGAAAGCAATTATCCGGAAGACAATTAGCTGACGCATTTAATGATTTCTTTACAAGCCTGGCTGTCGGCGATGACTCGCCTGGCACATGTTGTGATTATGTAAATCTACAAAATGACAGATCTATGTTTTTGCATCCTGTTACCGAGGAAGAGGTGATAACAGTAATCAAAAATATAAAAAACAGTAATAGCTGCGATATCGACGGCTTACAAATAAAACCCGTGAAGCACGTAGTTCACATCCTTGCACCGATTCTTACTAAGATATTTAATCAATGTATAGTGGCTGCTGCTTTTCCAGAAAGGATTCTGGAAAAGCAGCAGCCATACAAACACGCACGAGATTCGAGTCTTAATAGCGGCCATACAAACAATATATTACAATTTCTGTTGGTAGTTCCTGATAGACTACTATATTAAATAACTGTGAATAAAAAGTGAAAAAAAATAAAAAGTGGGTTTTTTTAGAAAATCGACTCCAAACTTGCTAGTTTTTCGAAATATTCGTTTTTCAGGCTGATGTAGCGCATTATATACTTATGGCAAAATATTAAAATTATACTCAAAAGAAAGAGCAT